ACACACACACACACACACACACACACACACACACACACACACACACACAGATTCACCCAGAAATACATTTGGGGACATCCCATTGACTTCCATTACATTTCCACAGCCTAAGCCTGACCATTTACCATAAAATTAACCTCACAGGTACCTACCTGACCCTAAAACTAACCTAAACTTAATTCTCACCTTGGTCCTAAACCCAACCCCCAACCCACCAATGGTGTTTAAACCAAATGGGGACTCCATTTTTGTCCCCAAATGCATCAGTTGTCCCCAAATGCACCAGTTGTCCCCAAATGTAGGATTTTTTTCTTAAGATTGCCCCCAAGTGTTATCAAAAACAACCCCCCACACACACATAAATAAAAACATTTAAAATGAAAGTAATCATTTCATTGAAGGAATCTGAGTCCTCTCCCCTTTTTATTGCCAGAGTTTTAGACAAATATCATCTCTGAGAAATGACGAAGCTGGAGCCATTTTTTGCAAAACATTAAAGTAACCAAGTAGTAAGTAAAGTAAAGTAAAAGTAACATTACWTGCATACAATATTACGAGATGTCACACCGGAACACATTACATTAAAGTTCAATATTTGTAAAACTGAAAAGTTATCATTCAATRTTACCTAAACTTTTCACTGACATCCATTCARTGGTGTATGAGATATTTTGCTAACAGACAAAATKAGGTTAATGMTAATATTTTAAGCATCCCTCATCTATGGCCATGAACTGTGTGTCGTGACTGGAAGAAGGAGACTGCAGATGCAGTACAGACTGTCAAAATGACTGATAATTGTTTCCTAAAAGTTTCATTAAAATCCATTGTTCAACAGATATTTGTCAACTGGAACTGATTCTTTTGACACAACTGTAAACTAAAAAAAAGTGCAATGAGTTACATTTGCTCAGATTATATGTTTGGTATATGTTTGCTTTGCTTTTCTGCAGTAGGTGAYAAAAAGTCAGTCCTGGAACTGAACAGAGATCCCAGCTGGAGGTGTCGTGAGTTTGTGGTCCGCAGAGAGAAACTACACGTCTCAGCTGTCTGCGTGAAGCTGAGCTYTGTCACATCCTCAGTCGTGGCATCTGCTAACTTAGCTCTAAGAATAGAAACAAACAAGTTTCTGGACTTTAAGAGGAGGAGAACCTCCAACACATCAACTTTCAATGAAATATCAATGCAATGAAACATTTATTAAATCAAAACAAAAGACTGTGATTTATCTAAGTTGTAGGAAAAGAAAGGAATATTCTTGTTCCTCAAAAAATAATCTGAATCTTATATTTTATTTTC